TGATGTTGACTTCATGCAGTAAAACTAATGAACTACAAATTTAGTGATTGTATTGACTAGGATTGTAAAATTCTCAATCCACTTGTACTCCTTGATTCAATATGAAATTGATATCCTCTGCCTCACTTTTTTAGATTGACTGTATAAATAATCAGAGGGAAACTAGATGTTTAGCATCTGTATGTACTTCGTGATTCACAGCTGGCTAGCTTTTCCTTTGGAACTCCTTTGTGGTGTCGCTTGGAGGATTGATTTTTATCAATGATTACTATTTTCAGGAACGGATGGAAAGGAGGCGCCAAATGCCATACCATATGCATATAAATCTTGAGCTTCTTGAGGCTGTCCATCTGATTTGTGCCATGCTGCTTGAGGTTCCTAACATGGCAGCCAACAGCCATGATGCTAAGCGCAAGGTTATCAGCAAGACTTTCAGACGGCTGCTTGAGGTGAGTGAGAGGCAGACATTTACTGGTCCCCCTGAAAATGTCAGGGACCATGTAATGGCAGCCACAAGGGCTCTTAGGCAGGGAGACTACCAGAAGGCCTTTGATGTTATTAATTCCCTTGATATCTGGAGGTTGCTCCGCAACAAGGACAGTGTCCTTGAGATGCTAAGGGCTAAAATCAAGGAAGAGGCACTTCGCACCTACCTTTTCACATATTCATCCTCTTATGATTCGCTCAGCCTGGATCAGCTTGCAAAGATGTTTGACCTTTCAGATAAGCAAACTCACAGCATTGTCAGCAAGATGATGATCACTGAGGAGCTTCATGCAAGTTGGGACCAGCCAACCCGGTGCATGGTGTTCCATGATGTTGAGCATACTAGGTTGCAGGCATTGGCATTTCATTTGACAGAGAAGCTGACTGTTCTTGCCGAAAGCAATGAGAGAGCACAAGAGTCGCGAATTGGGGGTGGAGGATTGGAAAACCTTCCCCTGAGGCGTAGGGATGGCCAGGATTATGCTGCAGCAGCAGCTTCTGGTGGCACTGCTAGATGGCAAGACTTGTCTTTCTCACAAGGCAGGCATGGAACTGGTGGGGGTCGGACAGGATATAATGCCGGAGGAAGAACATATTCAGGGCAGGCTGGTGGCTTTTCTAGGGACAGAACTGGTCAGTCTCGTGGAGTTGGGAGAACTTACCAAACTGGTTCAGCTGCCAGGGCGAGCCAGATGGATGGTTCCACGCGAATGGTCAGTCTGAACAGGGGAGCCTACGCATAGAGTAGCAGAAATAGACGAACCAGCACTGCAATAACGCATCTTTTCAACCTTTTGAAGCTCATCCATTTTATTTAATCATCCTGAAATTATTGATTGTTCTACAGAGGAGTTTGGTCTGTGATTCCCAGTCAAGCCTTTGTTAACTTATGAACGGATACTTTCTTTGTTCCGTCTTATTAGGAAAGTTTTGTATGTCAAAAACACTTTTTTTTAGCTTTTTGAAGATTTGGCTGTGGCTTGTGTGTCTGGATTCTCTTCATCTGCTGAAAACAGCGAAACTTGGGCGAACTTTTGAATAGCTTCCAGCTTATGATTTATGCCAGCATGCATTAACTGTGAATTCATCTTGTTAGGTATTTCTAGGTTTTACTTCCATACGCTGCAGTAACGTGTCACTAATTTGCAAGAAATTTCCTGCAACATCTGGGCAGTGTAAAGAGAGATGTGCTGGGAAAAGTGGACTTCTGTGATGACCGGCAACTGCAAGTATGCAAAGCCTGTGGCAGCAGTAACCATTTGTTTCACCTGTTTACAGTTCTTTGGCATCGGATATTCACCATTGTCTCTTTCTTGTTTGTTTGAAATGAGCAATGTCTGAAGTCTTTTTAAGAATTATCATCAAAAACTATTTTGAATCCAAAGATGACATTGGCTCGTTTTGGAGCTAGAAAATAAACAATAAAAAAAGAAATTGATCTTAGGTCATTCACAAAAAAAAAAAAAAAAAATTTGCCAGGTGAAATGTAAACAACGTTCATTCGGCCCTCGTCACTAGCTAACTTACAAAAAATAAGAGTAAATTTTATATACATTGACGATATACATACACTATTATCGTTGATTCTGTAATATGTATATAAAAGGTAAATTTTAAATTTAAATTTTATATAATTATCAATCATAAAACCCCGACAGCATAACGTCATTTTATAGATAGTCATACCTGTGCAGCTTGTGTTCACATTTTGCGCCGCCAGATGTCAAGTTTGGGAGAATTTGCCGGCTGGACCTCCAGCAGCCCCGCCTCCGGAGTATTGTTTACTGATTGTTGGATCTTAAGAAGTAATCTTTCTTCTGTTTAGTAACAAGACTGGGATAATTTTGAAAACAACGTTTATAATTAAATATTTAGTTGAGAATGTATTTTATACAACCCTGAAATCATCTAAACATTAAATTTGTGGCAGACAACAAATTTGTGCCATCACTTTCATATTCGCGGTTCAAATTGAACTTCTCAACTTCAGATGCTCCCTATATATTACATGTCGGTTTGACCAGAGATCCGGCAATGAAAAGCACCAGAAATAAACAGATTTAATAACAGCTTGGAATATCTTTTGAGGGGTACTAAAATTCAGGTGTTCTTGGAGTGCGTCTCTATCGTTTTACTTAGATCAAATAACATGTTTACTAATGCAAATTAAGAAATCAACGATTAGGGATTGCTGTACTTTTGCTAACAAAAAAAAAAATATATATATATATATATATATATATATATTTCTATATGATAAAAGCCATTTTGGGATGTTTTATAATCGTTAGCATTTCATAAATTTTCAAACGGTTTTAAAGTGTTTGCGCTTGGGATAACTTTTTGTTATTTTAAAGAATGGTCTGTGTGACGGGTGTCCACAGGCACTCATTATTCATTAAAATATATTTCAAGCGTTATATTTTTGAAAATATGAGATTAATTAGAAAAAGTAAATAAATACGAAGGAGGATAAACAAGATTAAATAATGAAAGTATATAAATGCAAGAGAGAATAATATTAATAATTATTAGTATATGTATATATATGACAGGTTAGGTGAATGATACGTGTTTTAGGGAACCAATTAAAAAAAATCCTTTAAAGAATTATATATATGCAGTTTGATCATATACTAAAAGTAAATAAAAAGATAGCAACAGAGTAGTATTTCAACAGTCAAAATCATACATCATTCAACGTAAAAAGTACTGGTGCCAGTAATCCTGGCAAACACTAAAGCCACTTTTTATTTAACCACGCATGCTGGTAAAACTACTTATTAACTGGAGTACTTTTTTAGATGCTCTAGTAAACAATAATAATGTGCTTTATAAGAAGCCACCACAGTTGCAAATGGAATATTCTCTTTCTGAAGTATATATATATATATATATAAATTCAATTAGGGTCATTATTATTACTCATAAATTGGAAATTGACTGGTCAATACCGACCATAAGTGACATGCCATTAATGAAGGTTGTCAACAATGTTGACATTTTCCTTCTGTACTGTATACTGTATATAAGTTCAGCTGTGTAATAGTGGGAAATACGTATATTGAAGTTCCTTTGATCATCTAGAAGTACAAAATGGTGAAGAGGTAAACACGCAAAAAAAACGAATTCTGGTGTCAATTGCGTGCCCATTAAGGTGAAATTGAAAACAAGTGAGTTTGGCCATTTGGGCAATGTTTGCGACAGATCATTGGCCAGAAAATGCGTGTCTTCATTGCTTTAATTCTTGTTCATCGCCTTCAAATCTCAATCTCTATAAACAAGTTGTTAACATTGGGATCATCCTTTGACAAATTTTAGCTCCATTGGACGGCCTATGGTCTTGGCTGATCTATCCTTTTTATGACAAATTTTGGGATGCTTGGCAGTGTTTTGAAACCAGATCGAACCGTCTGGTCGGACCGGTCAAATCGCGAATGGAGTATGATGCCGGTCAAATTCAGTGATCAACTTAGAAAGAGTTGAATCCAATAAAGAATCAAACTTTTGAACGGTTTCAAACTAATTAATTTTTTTTCAAAGTTATATAAGTTACTAGTTAATAATTAAAAGAATAAAAAACCTTTGAACTAATGTGAACCGAAAGCTTATCCGGTTCACTTAACGGTCTGGTTTTGAAACATTTTGATGTTTAGAGATCGGTACAAATATCAGGAATGCGCATTAAAATTAATGATACCTTTTGTTACTATTTAGTAGATTGCTACGAGAATCATTCCAAAAAAAAAAAAAAGAAAGTAAAAGTAATTAAATTTTGCCCCTTGTTAGTCCTTTAATTTTAAAATTGATTAGTTCATTAATCAGAATGAAACTCATTTCGGTTTCAATCCAAACGGTTGAGGGGTATAGTGCCAAAAACCCTATACCCATGTTGAGGTTGATACTTGCTATCCTATTTTCAATTTCAGAATAAGAACCAAACACCCCAACCACCATAATCTTTTTCTGATGGAGGCAAAATGAAATTCACTTTCCTCTTCCCTCAAAAATCATATTAATTACCTTGGCTTTAGGGTCCGCAGTCAACCACTGTTTATAGTGCATGTATCACACACAGAAAGTCAATAATTGAAGTGCTAAGAGACATTAATCCGCCAAACATGAAAAGACTATTTCTTTATCTTTGGCAGCAAGATGCCGCGCTATAAAATAGTGTGGTAAAATGTACACATCTCTTTCACTGACAATAATGCGTCATGGATGATGTTCAATTCTTGATCTTGCCACTGACAAAATGGATCCAAGAAGATGCTTAAACTATTACCATCAAAGTTTTCTAGCATTAATTACTTTAGCTTTTCAAAATTTCTGACTGGGAATTAATTAACAAAAACAAAAAAAAGGCAAGAGTATTCAGTAAAATTTTTTCTCTCATCTTTTTATAAGGGCTACTCTTCTTCTTCAAATTCTAAGAAGAGTATTCAGTAAATAACCTCTTCATCTTCAACCTATCGTGTTCATTTTACACTTGATGGGCAGAATTGTGTTTAGTACACTTTCGAGTTTACAATTTAATAAAGCTAGCTTAGGATGATGCAATCAGAGGGGGAAAAAATATGATAAGATAATGTGTTACTTCCCAGAAGCACCTGGTTTCTTGGCTTGATACATTTCTCCCTCTCTCTGTGGAACATGAATTCGAGGTCAACATTCAACATGTCTTAGTCTCTGACTATAACACCAGCCTACATAGTCAATTAGTCATATAAAAACCTTCCAGCCATAGATTGTTTTTGCTTTCTTGGCAAGATAATCACCCACTTAGCTACTAGTAGTTTTGTGTATATTGCCCAAGTTAGAACTTAGAAGCAGCCTAAACTCTTAATGAGTTTCACCACCCCTAGTTCTGATGAACTCCTGCAAAATAGGTTTCCACTAATGGAATCAAAGGGATTCCTTGATGCTACCGAAGAAGATGAAATAACAAAGTTAACAGGCAAAACCATGTTGAGCTCTGAAAGTTCTTGCGCACACTATGGTGATTTGGATCCCAAAGACAACAAAACAAAGCCAAACAAAAGAAGATCGAGGGCATCGAAAAAGACTCCTATGATTCTCCTGAATGCCAACACTACGAATTTTCGAGCCTTGGTGCAACAGTTTACGGGCTGCCAGAGTGCTCCTTCTTCTTCATTCAAAGGTCCAATCAACTTGAACTTTGGAGGAGGAGGGAGTGAAGAAAATGATATGGACGTAGCTGATCATCAATCTAGTATCTTTGGATACAACAATTTTGTTCAAAACATTCAGGCTGATGATCAAGTGCGTGATCAGCAGCAGCAGCAATTAGAAGATCACGAACGTCTGTTATCTAGTGGGAGCTTTGATGGAGATGCTTCCCTTTCAACATATGGTAAACCTGAAGCTTATGCAACCGCCTTGGAAAATATAGGTGCAGAGAATGGTAACCTTTTTCACGATTTCCCAGGAGATTTTTCTTCCAATGTACTTCCAGATGATGATGATTTTACCTTCTGATGGTTCTGAGAATCAATTACCAGTAGAAATTTTTGTTTGTCATCTTCATCACTCAGATAATGAATGCTAACAGCAGCCCCCCCCCCCCTCCCCACCCAAAAAAAATTGTATTTTTCCTTTTGTTAGTCGTTTCATCCATGAACATATTAGTTTATAAATTCCTATAATATGATTATCCATTAACGGAAGAAATAATTTTCTACAGCTTGCTTTTTCCTATTTGTTATTATTATTTTTGAATATTATGTTTGCATAGCATCGTACCATATATGTTTAGTGTTTTTTTTTATAACTTTATATGTTACTCTTGGATTTAGGAAAGTGTAATATGATTTGCCAAGTTGATGTGGAGATATACAAATACAGGAAAAGTTTATATTGTCAAGAAACACAAGCTGCATCCATAAACACTCTATTTTCTTTGCAAACCATGAAATAATTGTATTAGCAATTCCAGGCTTACTGGTTGCAGAACTTGGTTCCATTAGATGGTATGGTAAACAGTCAGATCAGCCATATCATGTTTCTGGTTCGAGACACAGTGGTGTATATAACACGCGAAGGAAGAGAAGCTCCTACAAATCTCACCGCAAAACTAACCCTCCATCTGTCCGCTAGACTTCTGCATGTTCATCGACTGTGTTACTTCAAGGAAGATGAATTCAAAAGGAAATTAACACTACTCTTATGTCTAATTTTTTGCACATGGAATACAGAATGAAACATAAAGGGGAGGATTTGGGACAGGTACAGTTAGCATTAAATGTTAGTTGGTGTAGTTGTACACATTTATTTAAATCAATGTACACAAATAAAATTTATCAATACATTGACGTTAAGTGAGTGCATACCACATCACGTAAAAAGTATAACAGTCTCACTAACAACATGTAATGCCGACTGTTGTTACACTTCTGACATGATGTGTACACCTACAAAACAACACGTCCATTGAAATTAGTGTACACGGAGAAAAATTTTTGAATTTTGCATTTCTTTTCCCTTCTTTCAATTTTCCTTGAAACTCTTAAAATTGTGACAATTATAAAGTAATTTTATGGAAATAAAGGAGACACTGATAAAATGTAATTTCATGAAAATAGGGGAGAAAGAAAGACAAATTTTGAAAATTTTTCTATTCAAAATCACAAGAATCATAGCAAACATCAAGTTAAAAAAGATAACTAGTTTGTTTTACTAAATTTTGTAATCATTAATGTTGTTTTGTTTGCTTACTTGTATTACCTAATTTATTAAATGTGAACTTTTTGAGTGCTTAAATGTGTGTATTAATTATTTCTAACTTTTAATTATTTTTATTTTTTTACTAATACATGCATAAGAGGTATTTATGGAATAAAAGTTTCATCTTTCTCCTTAAGTACTTTTTTAATGTTACTTTTTTTATTGGATTAACTTTGTTATCAAAACCTTCATCTCAGGGGAGGTTTGTGTAATTTTCTAAAATTTAGGGGAGGCTATTGAAATTATTAGAAACCTCAAGGGAGGTTTCTGTAATTATCCCTTTCGTCTACCTATTTATTTTTGGCAGAATCTGACAAGGCATATAAGAGAGAAAAGGCTTACTGCAGAATAAACTTCACTCCAATGAGTGCTGCTTTCTCTGTATCAGCAACAATCAGAAAAATGGCTAAGAGCATTTTCTTACCTCCTTCTTGGGCTCCGTCGACAAAATTGCCCATCTTTCAATTGTCATGTCGAGCAAATTTGAAGCAGCTTAACTCATCAAGAAATATTCATGCTTGTCTGCTCAAGTATCCTCTTGCAAGCAAGATCATGATTAGAAGTAAGTCATCCATTTTTATCGATTTAAGCAAAAATTCATTCATTTTTTTACTGGATTATGTAATTGTAACAAAGTTATTTTAGTTAGTATATGTTTGATTGTACTATCCACGTGGGTTTTCTTCGAATTTGTTGTTTCCAATTGATCTTGTGCAAATATATGAAATTTCTGTGCTTTTTGTAAGCTCTATTAGTGTGGCATCAGGGTTTTTCTTGCCATCCGTGTTTAGCAGTTTCTGATTAATGAAGGATACAATTATTCTTTTTGGTGGTGGGGTGGGGGTTGGGGAAGGGTTTTGGTGGGTTTTAAGTGGAAAAGAACGAGGACTGGTTTAAAGGGATTATAAGAAGGGAAGTGAATAATGATTTTGAGTTGGTTGTAAGGTGTTTGATAAAAATCCGTAGTAGAATAATTCTGCGCTCTGTTTGGATGAACTAAATGTTTATTTAGTATGCTTCTGAAGTTGTATGGATTGCAGAATCTAGGATTTGTATATCTGATGAGGCTAATAAGAGTTGAATCTTGGAGGAATGAGTGCAGTACAATGGTTATTAGCTAGAGTTGGTGTGTCTGGAAGATGGAAGATTATGTTTTATGTTCATCAGTGAAATTTAATGTTTGGGTTGATTGAAGATTGGGAATGCAAGAAAAATGAACTCTGAGGATGAGCGTTGGATTCTCTGTGGAAAATTATTGGGAATTTAGATCTTTTTTCCATGAGTTTTCCTTCAGTGACTGACATTTGGATGCCCCATATGTAAACATGAAGTGATGGCATCAAGCAGCCTGTTTTTTTATTTATTTCCAAGACAGTGGAAGCAGTAGAACTGTTCTGTGGCATCCTTCTCAAAATATCAGTTTGGTAGCAGTCCTTATTTTGAAATTTTAAGCAATTAATAGACTTTAAAAATTGATCTGAAATTTATTTCAATTACCAATTTAATTTGAATGTTGTTCTTATGGAGCATTATCTTAATTTATGAGTGACTAATTTCCATGTCAACCGTTGTTAAAGTTTTGCTCAATCTTTGACTTTTTGCAGACTTACCATATACTGCTAGTGAAAGTAGTTTGCTGAAGGAATTCTCCAAGTATGGCAAGATAGCTGAAGGTATATTTCATATGGTTCAAGTATTTTACATTTTCCCTCTGTAATATATGTTATGGAAAGCCCTTCTTCAATTTGTTTATTTTCATTCCATGCTTTGGTAGTTAAGCTTGTCAAGGATGAAAAGGCAAATAGGTCAAAAGGACTTGCATTTATCCAATATACTTCCCAGGAAGATGCTTTGCTTGCTGTGGATAACATGGATCACAAGGTGATCCCTGCACCTTTTTTTCCCCTTCTGCAGGAAATAGTCTGCCTAGAGGGCTCATCTCCTTTTACTTCTTCAGTATTTTGATGGCAGGGTGATTTTTATTGATCTTGCAAAACCAAGGTCAAATGAGTTTGGCGGATATCCAAGAACGTCAGGACCCCCTGAGGAGCAGCATATGCCTGCTGAAGATGAAGACGATGAATGAGCAAAATGCAGCAATTAGGAAACCTTTGAGACTTCTTAAGCATGGACTTGACTAGGCAAGTGGAATTTTCTGCTGGTTCTGATTCTACACATTTTTCGGCTTCTCTCTTCCCAATCTGTTGCACTTGATTTTTCTGAGAGGCAAGTTACTACACAACAAGTTATAATAGGCATTTATTAAAATGGTACAGACATTATTGCCGAGGCATGATTTTCTCATTGTTTCACTTTATAGTATTCTAAATTTTTATAAACAACACCCATGATAGTATACTTGGGTAAAAAGGACACTTGTACAGCTAATATGAACTTGTGGTGATAAAGATTTGATACAATTAGTATTACCTGAGCATAGTGAAGAGTATTTTATTTTGTGCTTCCCAACTTTTTTAAGTCCTAGGCTAATGCTTTTGATTGGGTTTGATCTCTGTTACATAGATTATTTGTACCCTTTTGTGCAAAACCATGTATAGTACAATCTTCTATACTACCATATACAAAGTGATTTCAGCAGTGGTATGAAAGCTTGTGAACAAATTATGGACAAAATTTCTATCCAGACTACTGTAGCTTTTGGCAGTAGTTAGTTTAAATTGCACTAGTTTTTCCTTTTTAACACCATCAGTTTATTTTCATCTGGGAAGCTAAGTATGTTGCACACTTTTAAAGTCCAGTGTGAGTGCAAGGAACTTCCAAATTCATTATTGGAACTACTTGTGGAAGTGAACTCTTAATTGCTTTAGAGTAACAAAATTCTCTGATCTAACAATGGGTGATGAGGATATAGAAGAAAAGGGTATGATAAGTTTTGCCCGAGGAAGAATTTTCATTTACAAATCTCTTAAACCATCGTGCTCCTAGAAATGTCTTAAGTTGCATATGCTATACATACGAGTACAATGTCAACAATTGGGTTAAAAAAAAAAAAAAATCCATCAGCTTTACCAATTTGAGGAGGTTTTCTCCATCTCCAAACTGCTTAACCAATAGATTGAACAGTAAAATCTCTATGTATTACATAAATTTCTCTCGCCATCCATGTTATACTGGTCAACTATAACTGAAATAACACCTCTAAAAGCTTTTTCACTCCCAATTACAACAAGATTATTTGATACATTGGTCATTTTATGAGCTGGAAATCCAGCAACCACCCCTTCAGTGTAAATTGAGTACTGAACATGATTTATTTTGTTCGGAAACACCAAAACAGATGAAAAATCAGCTATCCACTGCGTTCCATTTCCGGCTACTGTCAATTTTCCGACAGTTGACTTCAAGGTCATTCCAGTAACAATGTTGTTCTCAATCACCACTTGAGCTATGTCCGTGAATTCACCATCTAACTTCACTATTGGAACCATATTTCTAGGATCCCCAGCAAATATATTGTTAATGATATTTAGCCCTGAAGCTTTACCATTTATTGATTTCAATACAATGTTTCCATCCCCTATGAAGTAGCCATTTGATACCTGCACTAGAGCAGGGTCTTGAATCACTATACTGTTGTAATCTAGGTAGCAACTCTCCACCCTTGTCTGAGCTGCTCGCACCAAAATTCCAATTCCACCAAAGTATGTAGCCTTGTTATAGCAATGCACACCGATAATGATATTAGCCTGACCACTCACTGTGATTCCAACAGCTGCTGAGAAGATGACTACATCAGTGACAGCATTATCTGTACTTGAAAGCTCAATGGCAGTGCCTGAAAAACCTCTCTCACCACTATCACCACCAACTGTTTCATGCTGCCCTAGAAAACAGCCTGAGATGAAAGTCTCATGGCCTCGCTCGACTAGAACTCCTTGGGTTGTGAAATGGATGAAGTAGCAGTTGTTAATGCGGATTCTTGCAGCATCAATTACAAAAAGTCCTCCACCTTGGTAGCTTGAGTCAAACAGTATGTCCCTGAAAGTAACATCTTCATAGTAGATGCCACTGTTTTGGTCTTCCCTGTCTGAAAGGCCATGAAGATGATGAATGGTAGTACTTTCTTTTTCAAGTTTTCTTGAGTTTGGGGACCATAGCTCAATCAGATGCCTATGTCCTGGAAATGTGTTGGATGCTCTTAAAGTGCCTCCTTGAACCTACTGGGCAAGAAAAGAGCTGGTCGAAAGTCAGGAACTTAGAATGAACAATCCCAATCCTGTATCAAGCATTTTGAAACCCTCTAGTCAAAGTCTTCTTCATATTTCAGTCACGAATTACAAGCTTGTTTTTGACTATTTGTACAGATTAAAACTTCTTTATTCATTCATGATCCTTTTTGAAACTCAAAATACATAAGTATTCAAACAAATTAACAAAAATTGTATTGAAGATTTTTCAAATACAATGAGGCAAGTCTATCAATTTAAAGTAAGCACAAACAAAGGGTAATTATAATGGTCTTATATCCATAACAATAACATTCCATAAAATTACACGATAATTAACCATTCCTGTTAGTCAATTTACTTGAAGATTTCATCTTTTTTTATTAAAAAAAATCATATTGAGCTGCTTAAATAAATCCATAGTTGAATGGGAAGAACTTTCTGAATTTTGACTTGAATATCCCACTGTAAAAAAAAAAAAAGAAGAAAGTTGCTAAAGCTAGACAGATTCCAATTGCCTTGATTAGTACAAATGGTCGGTCAGTTGTCGGCAGTAAACTAATTCATTTGGCGAAAGATTGAAATTAAAGAGCCATCAATGAATTGACTAGAAAAGTAGTACTCCATTTTGGAACCTTCCAATTCCTGCATTCCCATGCAAAAGAACCTTAATTAAATAGCCCCATTTACGTGCGGACTCCTAAAAGCCGCTCTAAAATTAAGAGTTTTCCTCTCTTTACAACATTAAAAAACTCCCAACCGTAGGGCTTCAAGTCCTCGGTCGTCGAAGTCCAAACGAGACACTACCAAATAAATTTTACTAACTTAGTTCACATGTAAAATCAAAAGAATTGTCGCGTAACCAGATTAGTGAATTTTACATGAAAGTGTCTTTAACGTCCCCAATTGGATTGGGACATGGGACGTCTTAAAGATTGGATTTGAAGCCCAACTGCACCCAGCAAATACACGTTGGGAGGTCTTAGAGATGGTCACAACCACAGAAGAATTCTGCTGTAAGCAGTACAAGTGGCAGTAAAAATATAGCTGGAAGAATTTGTAACTGCTTAGACAGTCACTGGGGATCGAAACAGGTTTCAGTGAAAACTCATGTGCGGGTTGAAAAAGACCCAGGCACGTAAACTTAATAAATTCAGATCTTAATATGTTTAGATGCTTTTGATAATTAACAATTGAACATCTGAAATAATTAAGTATCACTGAATTTTTTAGACAAAATTTGCTCTAAAAAATAAGTGATAAGTTATTCACTTATTGCTTAATAAGATATACACTCAAATGTATTAAATTTAGTACTTAGCAATTCAATGATTTGATGGATTCAGACTTCAGATTTCAGTTTTCAAATTTCGATTTTATCAAATGCAACCTCAATTTTATCGAAACACGTTAATGGTGTGAATCTAGAATAAAGGGCTACAAGTGTTGAATTTCACTTGCAACTTTTCTAATGGTGTGTAATTTATGGGATATTGTTGCAAGTTTGAAAATGAGTTTGTATTCCTAGTAAATTATACATGCATGGTTTGTCAAATTATGCCTACAGAAATGAGTTTATGTTATGTCTTTCTAATCTCATATTTGGTGGAATGATGTAAAAATGAAAGAATCTTTTGGCTTTTCCTTAATAAATAAAGGCAGAGACTAGAGACTAGAGGCTTGCAAGAGAATGAAACATACCAAGATATTGCCAAAACCAGATGGAAAACGCAAAGGCCTGCTGATTAGGTAATTACCACCTTGCAAATCAATCACAACACCTCCCAAATCCTTTATTCCAGGTAACAGTTGAAACCCTTTATTCTGTATTCCAAATGCATAACCAATGGCTTCAAGTATGGCATCACTGCTATCTGCTACACCACTGGGGTCAGCACCATATCCAATGGGATAGAAGACTCTTCCATCGCTCTAAATCAACAATCCATGCATATGTAAAGAAAAACCCCAGAAAAAAGAACGTGTCAATGATTTGAAAATCAAAAGAAAGAGAAGAAAATGATGGGAAAATAGAGAAGTTCTGCGGTCATCACCTTTTTGGGATCTATGGAATGAGCTGGTGATGGTGCAGCTGTTGCAGCAATGCTACTGAATATGGTTTTCTCTTGAATCTTTTCTTGGAATTCGTACATCTTTAACTGTCTAAGAGAACAGTCTGCCTCTTTTAACGGCAAGAAAAATACTATTGTTATTAGCAACCTTGCACTTGCAGAGGAGTAGAAGCGCTTCATAGTTCTCTTAACAAAAATGAAAGGTTACTATGTAAAGCTATGAAGGCAACAAGCTAAAGGAAAGAGAGAAAGTAATTGATTGTTCTGTACCTCACTCTCTCTTTCTCATTCCGCTTTAACATGTGTATATGTATAGGTTGGACAGAAAGGTTCTGGTGAAAGTGTCCAAGTATGTATAGGTTTGTGTTATTTAAAGGGATAATTTCAGAAATCTTTCCTAAGGTTTATGACAGTTTCACTGCCCTCCCTTGATGTTCTAAAATTATTACTTACCTCCCTTGAAACCAATTTTCTTGTCACAATTTATCCCAATTCAAAAAAGAAACAACAAAAAAAATAATTTCAGGTGTGAGAAGATTTATTTATGCCTGAAGTGCCCCTTAACTATTATACTAGTTAGATTGAATATTTGATCTAACTTGTTAATTTACTTCTGAGGCTATTACGATACATGGTCAATAAAAAATTTCCATCATTCATAACAAAAAATAACAACTTTCAAAATTTAACAAAATAATTTTTTTCCACACCTTAAGATTCTTGCTATCTCCTCAATTATAAGAAAAATTAGCCCAACTGAAATCTCTTTATATTTGATTCCTTTTATTTATCAAGTACATAAATTGGAATAAGGATCCCTAGTATTGTATCCATTTTTAGATGCCGAATTAGATTTTCTTTTTTACATTTCAAATTATGGTTAATTTAGTTTGTAAACAGCTTAATTATTTCTCATGTCTAGATCCTTTAATTTATCAACTGCATTACATCTGATTTCTTTTATTTGTCAAGTATACAAAAATTAAAAAGGATGAACCTAATATTAGCTCTATTTTTAGATGGCAAATTAATTAACTTTTTACAATCCAAATTATGGTTAATGTAGTTAGCAAACTTTTAATTCTTTTCCTTCAAAGATATGTTTAATTATCCTAAGTTATAAGGGTAATAGAATCATTTAACCATTAGTGATGTGAGCATTGGGCTCCAAATAACTGACAGGGGAAGTAAGTGAAATTTTTAAAATCTCGGAGGAGGGCAGTGAAATTGTCAAAACCCTCAAGGGAGGTTTTTGAAATTATCCCTTATTTAAATGTGGAAATTTTGAAATCCACACAAACTATAGCTAAGAAGTGGAATTAATGTCATAGGTTAACCGGGTTACATCACTTAATGCACTTCAGATATGTATCAAAAAGTTCAATCTGCATAACAACATATAGTGGTACTTCTGCAATAATTTGTCTTGCATATCTATCTTATAAATGACATGGTAAGTAGAAGGAATTTTTTTTTTCTTTGGATGCATTTAGAAGAAAAAAAGTTAAACGGAATACAACGAAATCTTGAAACTCACATTCTAAGTGGATCTATTTGCACCTCCAATTAGCTCGATTGCAAATCCATTTAAGCTGTTTTATGTTAACATAATCATGAAAAAAAGTGAGATGTGTTTAGACATGGAAAAAATTGTTGCTAGCAGTATAAGATCTCGTGGTATTTGGTGATATGCAAGTGATGAAACATTGATACATGTTTCTGTTGGGGGTATGATCAATGGTCCAGTCTAAGTGTAACACGAGGTACAAAAAGACAAGGGCTAAGCACCCTCGTGATGCCCCAAGGTAATAGCATGATTCAAGGGCAAAGGAAAAGCAATGATGCGGATACTGAAAATTGTTTCCTAGAAGGTGAAAAATGCATTGTTTCAAGAACTGAAAATTCGACGTCAAGAAACCAGTGTCCTTGAATGGTTGGAGGAAATTAGCAGCTAAAATCGCACTGGCAATCAAAATTTCAAAATTTAGTAGCTCAGACATTTTGAGGTGCATGGTAGGCCCTTTAAATAGTTACATGTAGTATTTCGGTTTGTACATGCGTTACTCGAGTTTGCACAGGAGCCAACAGTCATTTGGTGTGTTGAGACTTTAAGACTTTATCCAAGACTCTTTTAAGTCTTGGATGCAGTCTTGGTGGTGGTGGGTGAAAGGTCAAGAATTCAAACTTTATTTCTCATTAGCCGCTTCAATGACTTCCGTCGATGGTGTTTCCCATCGGTTAGATTCTCCTTCCCTTTAAAATGGAATGAAGTAGATCATACAAATGTCCTAAAGTAGGATAGAGTTCATGTAATTCTTACTATATTTGATATAAATTCATATAATTTTGGTATAATCATAAATTATACACTAATTTAATCGTAGGAATTAATAAATTCAAGTTTACACTTAAGTTATACGAGTTTGTACTAGTTATTATAATGATTTGAATTGGACAAACTCAACTTGTGATGCCCTATTTCTGTATTTTTGGACTAATAACTATTCGAGTCCAAATTTCACTTAGCCAACCTTATAAAATAAATTCATGCAGCAAATTACCCAATAAATTGTGTAGTTAGACCACAACGGACACTTATCTTATATTACTAGAAAGCAAGAAAGTTCAATACCAATTACCATACAAGGGTATCCATGTGCATGATGATGCAAATAGAATTTGCAGCCAAAACCCTTTTCCCTTGTGAACTCCCAAATTTCCTATACAAATGCTAGCTGCTGTTGAAATCCTTCGACAGTTCAAGGGTCTACTTTCTCTCTCGGTGAAGTGCAGCTTTCTCCCACATTCATTTTTTACCTTTCTCATGTCCTTGATTTGCACGGATTCGTTTTCTGTGTTTGTGAATTACCCCTTTGTCCTACATTAATTCATTATATGCATGGAAAGTTTCCTCTCGTGATAACAAAGACAACTATGTACTTAGCCTATAGTAGTCACATGCGTGCACTCTCTTATATAGTATTACGCTCCTTAGTGCGGTGTGGTCCATAGGTTTCTCTCCTTCACTAGCTATTT